TTTTTTTTTTGAGACACCATGTTGCCCTCAGTAGATTGCTATAGTGTCATAGCTCACAGCAACCTCAAACTCTTGGGCTTAAGCTATTCTCTTGCCTCAGACTCTCAAGTAGCTTGGAGTACGGGTGCCCACCACAACGCCTGGCTATTGTTTGTTACAGTTGCCACTGTATGTGGCTGGCCCAGTAACCACTGTGCTATAGGTGCCAAGCCAAAAACACAACTTCTTAAAATAACAGCCCAAATTAGGCATTTAACATACACCAGATATTAAACTAAGCAAGGAACATACAGTCATCCTATATCAACTTATGATATTGAAAGTGACATTGTCATTTACAGATAAAAAAACTAAAGTTATCAACATTGACATTTCTTACTCAAGATAACTAGTAAGTAGTTGATTAGATTCAATTCTAGGTCCCTGACTCTGTGGAATCAACCTCCTAACTAATGTACTCTTTTAAGTAACTGCTGGGTCAAAGAAAAATCACTGTAATTTAAAATATAATGACACTACTTTTAAAGTGAAGCTAATACTATATTTAGGAAAAACATTATTTTATCAAACAAAAAGCAGAAAAACATACAAAGTATTCAAATTAAAAGAGAAAAAATAAAATAAATCTAAAGATGAGGGAAAAGATAATTAAAAGGGAAAAAGAATTAGTGAATTAGAAAATAAAACACAGTATAACAGATTATATCCAAGCACACATTTTTTAGGATTATAAAATTTTCTATTAAGAAGCATTTTAAAGTTGGGCGCAGTGCATCACACTTGTAACCCTAGCACTTTGGGATGGCAAGACAGGTGGACTGCCTGAGCTCAAGAGTTCAAGACCACTGTGTGCAAAAGCAAGACTCCATCTCTATTAAAAATAAAAAACTTAGCCGAGGCTTGTAGCAAGCACCTGTATTGCCAGCTACTTGGCAAAAACTGAGGCAAGAGGACTGTGCAAGCCCACAAGTTTGAGGCTGCTTTGAGCTATAATAACACCATGACACTCTACCACAGGCAGCAGAGTGAGACTCTGTCAAAAGAAAGAAAGGAAGGAAGGAAAGAAGGAAGGAAGGGAGGAAGGGAGGGAGGAAGGAAGGAAGGAAGGAAGGAGAGAGCGAGCAGGCCTTTAAAAAATTGCAGTATGACAAGTTTCAAACATATTGAAAACAGAGAAGATAGTATAATGAACCCAATATATCCATCACTCAACTTCAATAATCACCAACAGACAGCAAATCTTCCTTCATGCATATACCGTTGCCAAATTAACAATTTCAAATACTGGAGTAGATATTTTCATTTCATCCTACTTTAAAAGAAGCAAACTGTCACTCATTATCTCTCTCTCACCTAGGTACAGGGTATCATAAATGTCTAACTATAAAGCATGAGTCACAAGAACAGGTACTTAATATAACTTTCAATCAGTGACAATTTAAATAAACTTTAGCACACCTTACTCCATATACACAACATCATAAAATCAAGGCAGCTGAAAATAAACAGTAACTTACCGGAACTTTCCTGAACTTTCTCATCATTCACATCAGAATTATTCTGTCTAGACATTAAATAATTCTTGTGCCTAGAAGGCCCACTTAAGAGGGAAAAAAAAAAAAGTAAACCACAAAATTGATGCTTTTATGATGTATGTATCTAATGTTTCTACCTTAATCATCATTCTTCTTCTAAAACTGCCATTAGGTTTCTTTCTTATAAAACCCACAGAGATGTTCAAACATACAGTCATCCCTTAGTATCTGCAAGGAATTGCTTCCTAAATCCTTCAGCAATACCAAAATTAGAGGATACTCAAGTCTGTTATATGCAAGGGTACATTATTTGCATATAACCTTCACACATCTTCCAGTATACTTTAAATAATCTTTACTTATGATACCTAAAGCAATGTAAATCCTACATAAATAGTTGTTATACTGTAGTTTTGTTTATATTATTTATTATTATATTGTTACTTTTTATTGTTTTGTGGGTTTTTTCCTGCATGTTTCTGATTCACAGTTGGCTGCATCAGCATAACATGCCTATGTGAAACCCACAGATAATGGAGGATTGAGCACACTTACTACATAACACAAAGACTACAATTTAATCTCATAATTAATGACCAACATGCTAAGAACATTTTTTATAATGCTTTAAACTAACTCATGGGTTAGTTATGAACTTAATCAACTCAAATAATAATAAAGATTAAATTATAAGAAATTACAAATAAATCAGTATATCTTAATTTTTTTAAAAACTAGAGTCAAAAACAAATGGGACTTAAAATGTAGTCTAGAAATAGAGATGACTCAGGTTATCCCATTTCTAAATTCTTTCCTCCTTTATAGACGTAGGATATGCCTAGTCATAACCCCACACATAAAAAAGAGATCTTAGCCATCCCTTAAAAGTCTGACACCTTTCTGTAATTTACCATCTATTCATTTTTTAAACGGTTATATGACTTTCAATATAAGAATAGATTAATTAAATTTGCTCACAAATCAGGTTTGTTTTAACATTATTCCACAACTTCTTCAATACTATCCCTTTCAAGAAGCGGCACCTAATTCCATCTTTCCCTGAATGTGGTTTAGACTTAATAATTTGTTTCCAATGAACAGAATTAAAGTATAAGAAGTGACAGTATACAATGTCAAAGACTAAGCCATTAAAAGACATGGTGATTTCTATCACAGTCACACTTTCTCTGTGATCACCTGCTTTGTGGAAAGCCAGGTGCCATACTAGCTAAGAGGGCCATATGGCAAGAAACTAAGGTCTATTGAATGAACAGGGATGTTCACCTAATAATCATGTGAGTAAGGCATCTTATAAATTGATCCAGCTCCAGTCAAGCCTTTCAAAGGACTACAAACAAGAAGCACACCTTAACTGCAAGTTCCTGAGATTCCATGAGCCAGAACTAGCTAGCTAAGCCTGTCCCAGATTTCTAGCCCATAGAAACTATTAAATAATAAATATTAGCTAGTCAATAAGAAAATAAATATTAAGTTTGGGGGCTCAGCGCCATAGCACAGTTGTTACGGTACCAGCCACATACACCGAGGCTGGCAGGTTTGAACCTGGCTGGGGCCAGCTAAACAATGATAACTGCAACAAAAAATAGCTGGGCACTGTGGCTGGCACCTGTGGTCCGAGCTACTTGGGAGGCGGAGGCAAGACAATCACTTAAGCCCAAGAGTTGGAGGTTGCTGTGAGCTGAGACATCACAGCACTCTACCCAGGGCGACACAGTGAGAATCTGTCTCAAAAACAAAACAAAACAAAACAAAACATTACGTTGTGGCATATTTTACACATAATGAATAAGTAATATAGAGAATAAATCTCATTATCCTTAGAATAGCAGTGCCCAACCATTTTGGCACCAGGGACCAAATTCATAGAAGACAAGTCTTCCACAGACCTGGGTGGGGTGGGGCATGGTTTCAGGATGATTCTATCTCCACCTCAGATTATCGGGCATTAATTCTCATAAGGAGTGTGCAACCTAGATCCCTTATATGTACGGTGTACAGTAGGGTTCATGCTCCTGTAAAAATCTAATGCTGCTGCTGATCTGACAGGAGGCAGAGGTCAGGCAATGATGCAAGCAATGGGGAGTGGCTATAAATACAGATGAAGCTTCACTCACTTACCCACTGCTCACCTCCTGCTGTGCAGCCTGTTTCTTAAAAGGCCATGGACCAATACCTAGTACAGGTCTGCAGCCTGGGGGCTGGGGACTGAAGCCATTGAATACATACATACCTTTCCTCCAAAACTGAAGCATTAGGTTTTTCAGAATCCAAGTTAGAATCTATTGGTGTAGTGCATATATAGCTACTGGTCTTAGTCTTTAGAGGAAAATTGTGTGTACTCATAGTACCATCCTGATCCTCTGAGCTTCCTGTACATCTATGAAAATAAAAAAAAAAATGTATAATTTCTTCCAGAAACAATACACAGGTTAGTATAGACATAATATATTATTGGCTATAACAAATATCAAATTGTACCATTCATATTGTAAAGTTTACAATAGATCAGGAAGAAAATTTGATTCTCAGCTCTATCAAGAGTTCCATTTTGAAAATTTCTAATGAGAGAAATGGTGCAGATAAAGTCTAACCAAGATGGAAGTGATGACAGAAGGACACTGGGAGACCTTGCCAACAGGCACCTTACAGTAGACACCACACAGCTAATCTACCATGATTTACTAGGCCATAAGTAAACAACTACAATTGTTTTCTCTGATAACCCCAATCAGCTTCCTAAGGGACAGCAGGACTCTCAGAGGGACTCAGCTCACCTCTTTGTTAGCTACCAGCTAATTAGTTTACACCAAAGATATGAAACAAGATACACTATTCCTAGTTACTATTTCTTTAGGTTCTATTATCCTTTTGGGTCTTACCATCAGAGTCAAAAGAAATTATAATAAGAGTATGAACAGCTTAATGCCAACCATCAGATACCATAAATAAAATGGACAAATTCCTAGAAATATAAATTACCAACACTGATTTAAGAAGAAATAAACAATCTCAAAACGCCTAAGCAAAAATAAATTTTTTTTGAGGCAGAGTCTCACTCTGCCTTGAGTAGAGTCACCTTGAGTAGACTGTCATGGCAGCATAGCTCAAACTCTTAGACTTAAACAATCCTCTTGCCTGAGCCTCCTGACTAGCTAGGACTACAGGCAGGTACCACCATGCACAGCTAGTTTGTCTATTTTTTGTAGAGACAGGGTCTTGCTTTTGCTCAGGCTGGTCTCAAACTCCTGAGCTCAAGCAATCCACCCACTTTGGCCTCCCAGAGTGCAAACATTACAGGTTTGAGCCACGACACTCAGCCCCAAAAGACCTAAGGAATTAAAAAAAAAAAAAAAAAAAAAGTAACTATCCACAAAGAAAAGGTAAGGCCCAATAGTTTCACCTCTGAATTCTACCAAACATTTAAAGAAGAATTTAAAAAAATTCTTCACAAACTCTTTCAAAAAACAAAACAGAACACTTTCTATTTTATGAAGTCAGTATTTCCCTCATACCAAAACTAGACAAAGACATCACAAGGAAAACAAACTACAGAAAAGAACACTTCAACAAATTACTAGCAAACCAAACCCAGTAACACATAAAAAAGAGAGGGTAAATAGGAGAATGTCTGAAGAATTAAATACAATGTACATGAGATTTCTTTACGTACAATAATGACACATGCCAACATATTTCAGAAGCTCTATTTATTTCGGTACATCTCCAGCCCCTTGCTATTTCTAATACACAGTATATACAGTAGAACCTCTGTAAGTTTACCACTCAAGGGACTGTAACAAACTGGCCAACATACAGAGGTGGTCCCCATAAGGACCTAGGCCTAATGTACTGTTACATATATGAGGTGTATGGCTATTCTATGCAAATTAGGTCAACTTAAGGTGGCCAATGTAAGAAGGTAGTGAACTATGGAGGTTGTCCTGTATTATGTGTGGAATGCATGCTATAGTAAAAAGCAAGAATTACATCACTTCTTGGTCTTCTGGCTAAGATCAAGTACAGTGTCTTAATCTTAACAGCTTAAAAAAGCAGGAATATATAAAAACATACTTAACTCAATGCACTGTTAGGAACAATGAGAACTCATTCAAATCATTTAGCAAGTACTTAGCACAAAGAAAGCACTCAAAAGATAGAACTATTATCATCTTAAGAAGAAAAATATTGAGATATATTTCTAATTATTAATATCACATTAATCTCATTTAAAAGGAAAACAATTTGAACTATACCATGTGTACTTTTAAATTGTTAAAATGTTTTATGTTACATGTTTACCAAAACTTAAAAAAAAAAAAAAACTCTTGGGGGCGGTGCCTGTGGCTCAAAGGAGTAGGGCTCCAGCCTCATATGCTGGAGGTGGCAGGTTCAAACTCAGCCCTGGCCCTGGCCAAAAAC